GGTAGGGTTAGGCTGGACACTATCGCCTGTCTCTGTAAGGTAGGGTTAGGCTGGACACTATCGCCTGTCTCTGTAAGGTAGGGTTAGGGTGGACACTATCGCCTGTCTCTGTAGGGAGGTGTTAGGCTGGACACTATCGCCTGTCCTTTAGGGAAGTGTTAAGCCTGGACAATATCGGCTGTCTCTGTAGGGAAGTGTTAGGCTGGCACTATTGCCTGTCTCTGTAAAGTAGTGTTAGGCTGGACAATATAGCCTGTCTCTGTAGGGAAGTGTTAGGCTGGACAGTATTGTTGCTATTGCTTACAAAAGCCCTTCTAGAACAGTCCAGGTAGCAGAGTATTGATGGGCCATTACCGTGCTCCCAGAACCTTATCAGTCCCAGTTGGGCATATGGACACAGGCATGCTGACAATGTGCTGCACTGATCAAGACCAGGAATGGGGGAAGTGAAACTGAGTGACTGATGAGACTGACAGACTGGGGTCCGGAAGCAGGAACTTCCATGGGATTGGATTGAGAGACACTTAATTTAACTTTTGCTAAAAGGTATGTTGGCCCTCCTCAAACTCTTTTCCTAAACAGTTGGAATTCTGGGAAACTCACTTATGTATTATGGATTCAGGCTGTTTGTTCTGTGGTGGAAAATGAGTCTAGAGGCATCAGAGCATTCTAGCAATTACTAAAGGATGTTTCGAGAGAATTGATGAGGATTGCATCAGGTAAAAAATCCCGGATCAGGCGCAGCAGGCTCTGTAGTCTGCATAAATACGCCAATTGCAAGGCAACCCCAGACAACGATGCTGCCTCCTGCTCGACAGGGGGAAGCACACTGGCAGAACCCTCTGTGCATCTCAAACAGATACAGAGAGTTCAATTTGTGAGTCATTCGAAATTTAATAAATGGAATCTTTTACGGAATAAATTCAACGTAAGTATTTTGTTTAAAGAGTAATATAGCAGGAAAAATCCTTGGGGTTGTAAGTCAAAGTCCTTAATTTATGTGCAAT